GGCCCCCTCCTCCCATGGTGCCGCCCCCCCCCAAAAAAACCCTGCCAGCCTCTGTTGTTTTTCTGCAGCCCCGATTTCAGGAAGTGGGAGGGGTGGGGGTGAGGGGGGGGCAGAGAGAGGCTTCTGTCTAGCCAGGCGGGCGAGATGTATTGTGTTTTGGTGAAGGATTTTCGGGGTGGTGGTGGAGGGGGGAGCGAAGAAGGTGGTGGTGGGGGGAAATACAGTGGCTGCTAATAGGCTCCATGCATCTTGATCACCACTGGCGGTGCCTTTTCCCTTTCGTGACAGCCATAGAAACAAAGCCGCCTCGACAACCCCCTCCTTTCCCTTTACATCCAGTGAGCTCCCTGCTTCCGAGGAGTCCCCGCCCCTTTTCCTTGGGCCCCCCAAACCTTCCCCGGCCCATTCAGATCAGCTCCCTCGCCTCGTCACGCACCCCCTTGGTCATCCCCCCCTCTCTCCCAAGAAAAGACATGGTGGGGGGGGCTGCCCGTCTCCAAAAGGCACTCGACAACCCCCTCCTTTCCCTTTACATCCAGTGAGCTCCCTGCTTCCGAGGAGTCCCCGCCCCTTTTCCTTGGGCCCCCCAAACCTTCCCCGGCCCATTCAGATCAGCTCCCTCGCCTCGTCACGCACCCCCTTGGTCATCCCCCCCTCTCTCCCAAGAAAAGACATGGTGGGGGGGGCTGCCCGTCTCCAAAAGGCACCTTCCGGCCCCCTCGCCTTGTCACGCACCCCCTTGGTCATCCACCCCTCTCTCCCAAGAAAAGACATGGTCGGGGGGGGGGCTGCCCGTCTCCAAAAGGCACCTTCCGGGCCTCCTTTACAACAAGGGAGCAAGCGACCACCTAGCTTTCCTCCCCTTTTGCTCCGGGTTAACTGCGCCAGAACAACGGCCGCCCCCCCTCTGCTTCTGCCCCCTCCCAGTGCCGGGGGCTGTTCTTGCAAGGGAGGGAAGGGGGTCAAGATTGGGGTGTGTGCCTAGATTTGAGGTCCCCCAGAGGTGGCCAGACTTGAGGGCGAAGGCTTCCCATCTTGGCTCCCTCACCTCAGATGAGAGAAAGAGGGCCGGGTACTTGGAGGGTCGACCCATCCCCGGGCGCGACCCGAACTCGGGCTTAAAGGGGTGTCACATTTTCATCAGTTGTTAATATCAACGAACCTCGCATGAAAGGCTGGTTTCTTTCTCGGCGGGGAACGAATCAGGCACGTGCCCGTTTGAAACCAGAGGCCAGAAACCCGGGACCATCTCCTTCTGAGGCTTAGTAAGGGCAGCAGGCCAGGCAGAGTCTCAGGAGCTGAAATCTCCAGAGTCTCCTGCCCGCTGCGGCCTGCCACAGTCAAGCCCATTCAGCTCCTACGTAGGGAACGGTGGTGGGGAAAGCGACCGTGGCAGATGGTCTGTGTGGTGGCTTTGTAGGTTGTCTGAGTAGTGAGAATTAGGGTTAGGGGATCATCTCTTCTTCTGTTTCCCAGATGCAGTAACCTCCCAGATCCCCCCCCAATAACTATTAAAGGGAAGATCCAACATTTTTCTCCTTCTATTTTTTGAGTGGCAACCTTGTTGAGGAACCCAGACCTTCTGCTCCCTGTAGGTCAGCCCCACACATTAAAAGGGGGGGGGGAATTGAGCCACTGCATATATCCTCACATATGTGACACAGCCCCAAAGACTGCACTGTGGACCACAATAGGAAAATCTAACCCACTTCTCTCCGATTTTTTTTAATCATTAGAAGTGAGCTCAGCTTGGTATGTATATCACAGAGGGAGATGGTCTATGCTTAGCTGGCTTGCTTTGAGCTTCTGAGCCCTTTAGAGATGTGGTTAGTAGTACGACGCTCTTGTAAGGCGGGCTAGCCTTTTGAGCCTCATGTTGCAAGCGGAGGTGCTGTCCATGTGGGGTGGGATTTGAATCCAAGACCTCTCAAATCCCAGTTTTCATTCTGGGGTCAGTACTGGCATGACAGAATTAGAGGTAGCTTGGAGGAGACTCTTGTCATGACTTTGTCTTGAACTCATGATTTTTGTCCTGTATTTTGAATCATGAAGTGATGGGTGGACCCTTTCTTTTGAAGAAGAAAAAATGGGTGCCCAAGTGAGGAAGCAAACAGATGGACCTCCAAATATTGCTGGATTCTGGTTCCCAAGAGCCCCAGTTAGCCTAGCCGTTGGTGTGGATGATGGGGATGGTGGTTCATCTTCAACACAGGACGGCCACAGATCTATCTATCCCCTTTGAGGCTCACCAATCTCTTTCTTTGCTGAAATATGTCCTTGTTTTTTTTCTGAAGGGTTTGGGTCCCATAAGGACACGGACATCATGGAGGAAGTTAGGTTGTGTTGTGTTGTTGTTCACTATGGTGCGGCTTTCCAGACCATCAGATCTCGTTTGTGCCAAGGGGGCTGGGCTGTTGTGTTCGCAAAAACCTGTCGGCCAGTTGTGTAGTTAAAAAACGCCACGATGACAACAACAACAACACAGCATCGCCAAGGTAGCTGTTCCACAAAACAGAGGGGCGCAGATCGGCACCCTGAGAAATTGACACCCGTGCTGACAACAGGAAGGGCAGAAAAGGGGTCTGAGGGCAAAGGGGTCGCTCGAGGGAGTGAGTCAAGCTGCACCCAGAGACACCCACAGACAATCACAAATAGAAACAGTTCTTTTGCAAAGCCAGTGGCTCTTGATAGCTCCACCAAGACCAAGCCTTCTGCAAATACTTGGCATTCTCATAGGGACACTTCACGGTCCTTCTGCCATTCTGGAGAAATCTCAGAGCGCGTGCGAGTGAGAGCAAGGAAGCCAGGGTGAGGTGTGGAGGTTTGGGGTGGGGGACCGGGAGCCCCTGAACCCGCGCCCCCATTGTCTGTCTCTGCAGTTCCAGAACCTGCAGCTGGAGCGGGAGATGCGCCTGGCTTCCAACTACACCCTGGCCAAGCAGAACCTGGCCTTGCAGCCGCGGCTGGAGAACGGCAAAGCCTCGCTGGCCATCAAGTACCAGGAGCTGCGGGAACTGCGCGAGACTTGCCGGGACAAGCAGCAGCGCCTGGGTGAGCAGGGATCTGGCGGCGGAACCACCCCACCCCCCCGGCCCACCCATTGGGAAGGGGAGCCCTTTGTCCCTCGGTTGTTCCGCTTATCCCTCCATCCGGCCTTCGGGGAGCTCAAGGGGTTGGCTGGGGTCTCAAGCATCATCCTCACAACCACCCGGTGAGGCAGGGAGTCTGGGGAAGCAAGAGTTTGTGACATTTATTTGAATCATCCTGAAACAGAGCTCAAGCCATGAATGTCTGGCAGAGTAACAACAAACCAGGTTTGGCTTATTTATAAAACCTTCCTCCTATTTCAAACGCCCCCAGCTCCAAAGTCCTTTTGCCAACTGAGATGGAGGTTTTCTGTGCTGTGTTTGGCTTCTGCCTTAGCCGCAAAGGGACCTGATGGGACTCCCTTTCTCCATGCTTTATGGACACAATAGTCCTGCAAGGTGGGCCAGGCTGAGATAGACAGGTGGGAGAATGAACCGGATGGGCCGTATCCCAGCCCGCCCACTCCACGGCCCTGATACCCCACAGCCCCGCAGCTGTTCCTTTCTTCTTTTGCCTTCCGCCTGCCCGGGAAGAATGACATGATCCTTCCCAGCGGGTTGCCTGGAGCCCCCCAAGGAACCCCTGCAATTGCCTTTATCACTGTGTCGTCTTTTTGATTCACTGGGGAAAGGGTGTCTGATGATGCTGAGGGTGTCGTCTGCCCTGCAGGGGCCTGCATGGCCAAGTGGACCCCCGAGAACGCCCTCAGCAGGCTGCAGGCAGAGCTGGACAGCGTGGAGTCTAAAGTGGAGGTGAGCTGCTCCCCCGGGGTTGGCGGGATGGTGGTGGTGGCCTGCACTGCAGGGTCGGCTTTCTGCCGGGCAAGGCTCATGGGCTCGTTGTAGAACAAGGACCAGCAACTTCAGACAGTCCAGGGAACAAGTGCCATGTGTGTGTGTGTATACACACACACACGCACGCACGCACGCACGCACGCACACACACACACACACACACACACACCAAAGATGGGAGGATGCTGAAAAGTATTAACCATTTGAAAAATACTGGGGGGAGAGCTAGATGCTGAAAAGTATTAACCATTTGAAAAATACTCATTCCACGCATCCCAGGTTCTAGTTCTGCTTCCCTTTTTTCCAGGCATGGGGCTTGTCCAGAGAGTTGCACAGGGTGGCTTCAATAGGGGGCCACATCCTGCCTGCGCTTTGCCCATGCCTGCTGTCAAAGCCTAACCCATTTTTACATGCCTGGCAAGAAGGGGAAGGACCCATGTGCCTTGCTTTCCCCCTGAAGGAAGAAGGAGCAAAGTTTCTTTCATTTCATTTTATTTTCTTCTCACCTGGCTGCAGAAACAGTTGCTCACGCCCCATAAGATGCTGTGTTGTCTGAGGAGGGGGACAGGCAACGCTGAGCCCTTTCTGGCTTCAATGGGTTTTTTTCCATGGGAGGGCAGTGGCTGAGATTGCCCACCCCCAGTGCATATATAAAATCCTTTTACATCCGCACTGGATAGGATCTGTGGTCTTTTTGTGTGGGGACGTAGCATTTTGTCCCCGTGGGAAGCTCAGTCGGGGGGACGTGAGAGATGGGATCCCTAGGCCTAAATCCAAGAATTAATCCCAGCTAGAGTAGACCCGTTCCATCAATAGGATTTATTCAGTGGGTCTGTTCTGGCCAAGAGTAGCAATGTGATTTTTGGCCCAAGGGTGCGGAAACTGTAGATTCTCGCTTGTGCCATTTCATCTTTCAACATCCGCATGACGTTTCCGGTTGCAGACGTCATGTTTTCCCTTCTCTCCGAGGTGCACTCTGCATTTGCCTGTGAGTTCTCTTGCTGGGTTATAAACAGAATAAGAACATAAGCCCTTGCCAACAACTCACCCCATCCCAAAAAATCTACTTCACCAGAGACAGGAAGGATCTCTTTTAGCAGCGATCAGAGATCACGCTAAGGATTCTCCCACATCTGTACACTGGGCACGGGTTTCCTCTGGATGGTCTGCAAGCCAGATCTGGCTCCCTGCAGCCCAGTTAGGTCTGGGAGGTGGAGACTCACATTACCCTGAGCTGGGGCAGGAGAGGGCGTGTGTCTTGTGCTCACAGAACACAAGGAGCTGAAACAAGAAAAATCTCTTTGGCAATGTGGGGAGTAACAGCTCCAGAGGTGAGCATCCTCCGCTCAGCCTCACCTGAGGTTATACAAGGTGGAGAACAAGCCCTAGGCAACCAAGGGCTTTGATGTCGTATCGTGAGCACCTCCTTCTGCAGATGGCAGAGAAGATGCATGCACAGTACGATCGAACCGTGTTTGGGCCGAGCAGGTCTCATCAGCCTCAGGACAGCCGTCCGCATGATGGCTGTTGCGTGCACCGTACGATCGAACCGTGTTTGGGCCGAGCAGGTCTCATCAGCCTCAGCTTCCGTGGACTTGAGCCCATTTCTTTAGATCCATCCCAAAACGTGAGCTGCCATCTGCCCACATTTAGGCCTGCTAAAACTTCATTAGTCTTCAACGAAGCCACAAGACTTTTGATGTTTCAGCTGCTAACGATGCTGCCCCTTGGAAAGCTCTGCGGGACATTCCTTGGGCATGGCATCGGCTCCGTGCCGAACACCACCCTTTTTTTCCTGCAGGTCTCAGCAAAGGAGGGACAGGCTGACGGACACCCCAGCCTCTGTCCCTGAGACTTGCCCTGGGGAGGGGTGTAAATCTAGGCCTGGGGAAAACCAGAGAAAGAAAAACGGGAGTCCTGCCTCGTAATGAGACATGAGAGAGGAGGAGGAGAGGGTTGTGAAAAGAGCCTTGGACAGCTTTTGGGTGGGTTTGGCTACTGACCAGTGCTACTGACCGCCACCGGTGGCAGAGAACCGGAAATGGACCGGGTGCTGCATGAAACCTTCACGGGCTTATCCGCCTTTCCTTACAGGAGCAGATGCAACACTTCCTCTGCTGGGACCTCCCCATCGAGACCTTTGTGGACACCTTCCAGCACACTCGGATGATGTCCCACCTCCGCCGCACCCAGCTGGAGAAACTCCAGGAGATCCTGCAGCTGGAGAAAGCCAAGACCCCAGAGAAGCCCAGCCCCGGGGGCGAGGAGCAGCCGCTGCCGCCGGCCACCTCCCCGGCGCTCCCGGCTCC